AAAGGCATGTAAAGTAGACTGGATTCATAGATGGAGAATTTCTCATCACAAACTGTGTGAGGAGCGCTGAGGCTGTTGTGACTGAATTCTGAGGCAAATGAATGCAACAGACTACACTGCGATTATACACTGTAGCATCCAGAAAGAAAAGGAGAGAGATTCTCTCACAAAATTTATGGAGTGTTAATGATGTGGTGCCAGCCTCCCTCATAGTGAATATGTGACACATTTTACATGTACTCCTTCAACACATTTACTTCCATTGTGATACCCATGCCCTTCGCACAACAGACTGTAAAGAGCTGCAGGATATACACTGCATACTTACACAATGCAAGAAAGGAAAGTGCATTAAGTGTATTAATGCACCATCATGGAGGTGACTCTTCCCCAGTTAGCAGCCTGGCCTGACCCCAGGCATGCACCCACTGCTCAGAAACTGTCACATCAGTGTGTGATTGGTATGGCCTGAAATCAGGACATGGGGATGGTGCAATGCAACAATAAATTTATGGCAACTGTGCATTCTGATAATTGCCTAAATACAGCCCTGTAAACAGGGGAGAGTATTCAGTCTTGCTTTCTGTTTTGACAAACGAGTTTGAAAATAAGCTTTAAGACTGCTGTATATATGTATGTAGTATACTTGTCAACATAAATAGTCAACATTTTTAGTCAACATAAATATCTTACCTGTGAATTTTCAAATGGAATGCAAAGAATTGGTATCAGATATTCAACTCAAGAATTGATCATGTGTCTTCACCAAATCTTTGTAAGACCTCTCTTAGAGAAGAGTAATATACCTCACTTAACAATCACAACTTATTCATGCCATTGCTTTTTGGCAGTATGTACACTTGTGAACAATAGTTCTCAAGGATGAAGTACCGGAAGAGTAAAATTTCATCAAAAATCTTTACTTGTGCCTTGAGAACCTACTCAGTATTGCAATCATTGATGTTAAATGAGACATTGATGCATTATTTCAAAAGAATCAAGCTCATATATCACACTGTTGAAAAATAATGTTTTGCGGGCAAGAATTTGTTCTATCAAGTAGCATTATTGTGCTCTTTGCATCTGTCGTAGTTTCCATGCACTTAAATAGGAGGCATTACTGCCTCCTGAATGTCATCCAAGTGGCTCTGGGCATAGATTACGTGGACAAAATTTTCAAACGAAGTGCACCAAACAGTTTTCAATCTGAGGCACCAATTTATGTGTCCAATGAATAATCTGATTACATGTATACAACTGAATCAGCGTGTTGTAAAGATATATACACTGATACCTCTTTGAAGGGATATGGATGCATTTATGATGTATACATTTTATGTTGCAAACTGTTAAACATTTTTTTTCTTATTCTGCAATAGGCAAGTTATTAATGCCCAATCACAGCCAGCAAACACAAGGACAGTGTTTAATTGATTTAATAAGACAACCTACCAGGAGCAATGTTGAGGACACTTTTGACATCCATTTCCATCAATGTGCCCTTAGAAATCTTAGCTTCTCCATGCAATACTTTTTTTTTTCTTATTTTTCAATGTTGCTGCTCACTAATGCTCACAGAACTTTTTCTCTGTAGTTCTGATAAAACTGATTCTGATTTCCTCATGTTTGATGTGTTTTTTTCAGGGTCATTCTGAAGATTTGTCAGCACCACAAGACTTAAAGTTTTTAAAAAAATTTAGAAGATCTGATGGAGGATAGTGGCTTGCACTATAGAGATGGGTTGCAGTGGTTGAGATTTCTTTTTTCTTTCCTTTTTTTGTTCAATGTTTTGTCTTAGAATACTGGGAAGTTTTTTGTTCAGATGTCAGAGCAACTCAGTACATTCATAGTGATAAAATGCTTCATATGTGTGTCCAAATCTCTAAACAATTATGCGTGGGTGACACCTCAGCTACAGCTCCAGAGTCTTAATTTGCTTCTGAAATCAGTTCCTCTCAGTGTCAGAAATAACATGCTGCCATGGTGATAAGCTGTGAGCTTCCCTGTCTGAAATGTTAATAACTTCCTGAATTCAGGCAAATTCATGTTCATCTGCATGGTGCCAATTACAGTGAATTGAAAAGAGAAGTGTATAAAACCTAGGTATATAGTCAGTTTGGGGCCTCAGGCATGAATAATTGGGATGAAAAGGAGCAATCATTAATACAGAAAATAGTCTCTGTGGATACATCTTAGTTTTGGGAAAATCTCCTCAGTGAGTAGGATTGTATTGAAAATATCAACTGAAAACCCAAATTTCTTTTTCTGAAGAGTAGTTTCCCTGATTTTTCATGCGCTCTGTCTTGGATAAGCAAATTGTGACTGTGACAAGCACATGAAATGCAAGTTCAGTGAGAACAGTAGAGCTGTTGAACTCACAGTGTACAATCATGCATGTTTCTTATTAGACAGACTTGTATTTACATCCTGTTATTCTGTATTCGCTATTGTTGGAGGTATTGTTTCACACCAGATCCCAACGATTCCTTCTTACTGGAGCAGCGATTGAATAAACTGGATATCTAGGTCTTAATCCTGCCACTTTCTACTTGGAAGACAGCTTGCTTACTGAGAAACAGAAGTAAAAGGACTCTGCTCTTTTTATGGATTCATCACATTGTTATCAGAGTACTTATAGCTTTGTATGTTATCTAATGATAAATAAAAAGTGGGTAAGTGTCTGCTTGGCGTTCCATGCCGGAGAGAGGAAAGAGTATAAAATTCTTATTGCCTGAATTGCAAACAGTTTAATAGCACCAACTTGTGTTGATCTCTCCCTCCAGCACTGCATGTACTTATGTTTGATGCCAAATTGCAAGATGAATCTGGAGAGGCATACGAAGAGCCATGTGGATGTTTTTTCAAAAAGCAGGCTGTAAGTAATTACTTCTGGGTAAGAGCTCTCAAAACATCCAGTTAACTGAATTTCTGGTTACTTACTCTTTGTTCGGACTGATGGGCAGTTAGGTTGGAAAGAAAGACATACAGATACAGTCTTAAAAAGCTGCCAAAACATTTCACATGATGAAAAAATGAGGCCAACAGACTTACTTTTACTTATTAGCTAATTAGTAATATGATCCGTGACCCTGCTACAAAGAAATATGATTTAATCACACAGACAGTATCTAGAGGTGATCCCTGCAAATCACATAGGTATGTGCTAGTAATGCTTTGAAACTACATTTCCTCACTTATCCATGCTGTCAAAAAATATGCATGATTTGTCCAGAAATCTTCCAAGAAATCTTCCTGCCTTACCAAGGGCAGCTGTAAGTACACAATCAAGCAACTCCACACTTCAAAGAAAAGAGATTTCATCTTGAAACTTTTTTTTTGTGATTTTTCTATCATAAAACCCTGTAGCAATCTCACCTTGTGTGAGCTATAGGTCAAAACACACATGAAAACATTTTCTCAATTTGTGTTCTAGCCTATACTCTGCAGAGGTCATTTTAAGACTTGCATGTATTAGTGTACTGTACACATTCAAAGCCCTAAATGAGTGTAATAGTTACACAAAGAGAAAACACAAAGAACACAAAGAGAAAAATAGTTACACAAAGAGAAAAGATTTGGATTTTCTTCCAAATCTCCCATTTACACTCACTATTACTCTCATTTTTCAGCAATGCCAAGTTGTATGATCATCTCTGCATGCATTGCCTTCAAAAATTAACAGGCATTTTAGCCATTGTGTTTGTCTCTTTGTGCCAGTGCCCTGCCATGCTGCTGCACTCTCCATCCCAGCATCTAGCATGCATAGAGCAGTCAAAAGTCTCTGTATTTACCTTAGAAATACTGATCCAGAACTCTCCGTAGGGCTGGCTGGAGGGCTGCTGCTTGACTTGCCGAAGCTGCTCTGCATTTCAAAAATGGAATCATGTAGAGAATTCCCTTTTCTCATCATTTTAATGGAGCTAACTGCAGAGTCAGGCAACTTCTGGTTGGTATGTAGTGATCCTTCAAATGCACAGCCTTTCGCTGCAGTGGGAAATGCACTTCTGGTCTGATTACAGCTCTGGCTGGAGTTTAAAATCAGTTAATAAGTGACAAATTCATGTGACATGATAAGCTAGTTTTCTCTTTTATCTGGAGCACTTCATAAGTTTATTTTGTAATAAATCTCATCTAGTCTGGGTGTAGCATGTCAGCATTAATAGCAATAAATTGTTTTGATGAGTTAATAAAAAGAATATAAAACAATTTCTGATTCAGATGATGGCTCATTGACAGACTTTTACCAAAAGTGTTAACATCGTCTCAGGAATTCTGCTCTGTCTCTTGTTATCCAAGTTTAAGCAATATAACAGTATATATTTAAAAGTGACTATATCCACCTGTTCTGACATGACAAAATTATTAGATTGCGCTCCTGCAGTAATTTATTTTTGCAAATGCCTGCATGTAGCTGCCATAAAATAAAGCCAATGCCGTTAATCTGAAATACAGATAAGCTTTTAAACTTCAATGCATGAAACACCTACTGGACAAAACCAGATTGCTCAATATTTTTTTAATTGGCAAATATTAATTGCAAATTTGCATGGATTGCTGTTTGTTGAAGATCATGATAAGGTTAATAAGTGATAAGGTTAGTTGAAGAAACAATAAGCACAGTATAATATAGAGTTAACATTGCAAGGATTCCAGAACTTCTGCTAATCTTCATTTCAGCTCTGCATGGTAATAAGCATCTGCAGTGAGACTGAACAAACACATGGAATGTAGCTCTGTTCTCAGCCCTCTCTTTCTTTTCTCAGCATCTATAAAGAAATGGTGAAGCAGTATGTTTGCGTTTGGAATGTTCTCATGTTTTATTGGTGAGCTGAAGGAAATCTTGTCAAACTCTGATGTCAACCTGGATACTTCTCTCTGTTTTGGTTTTTTTTTTTTTGTTTGTTTGTTTGTTTTTGTTTTTTTTTTCCCCACTATTAAAAACCGCAGTCTTTTTTTTTTCAGTATAAATTTTATCTTGTGATCATTACTAAACAAATCATAATGATATCTACAAATGGCAGAAACAAGAGAAACACTGACTGTTCAAACTCAGAAATATCATTATAGTCAAGAAGCACACATAAACATGAAACAGCGATCTTCTCCAAAGTGAACATTTCAAATAAGTGATTTTCTTTTCTTGAAAGAAAAAAAGGAAAGGATTAAATATGTACTCTTGATCCTTTTAGATGTCTTCTGTGAGATGGAACAAATCAAGCCCCTTGTATTTAGGAGCAGTGCTCAAGCTGCTTAAAACTTTACTGAATTAAATTTTCAGAATGTCTACCTTTTTCAATAGCTGTGCTGTATGTATTTGGGTCCTGCCATCTGGGCCATTTTGTGATTCAGGTTTTACCTGATGCTGTTTGATTACAGATTATAGATGCAGATCTATAGATGCTGGTGAACAACATAATATTTCTCAATTTATTCCTATGTATTCCTACTCTGTTATAAACTTCAACAAATATATCAAAGGAAACTCTTTTCCTCTTCTAGGAAGGAGAGAATCAGCCTTGGCTCCATTGTTTTGCTGACATCCTCCCACTTGTGATAACAAGTCCTTTTAAAAGAAACAAACATCATTATAACTGATTAGAAAGCCAAAGTGATATAGTGAATTTGTGAATCATTAATGAGAAATATTTATATTTGAAAACTAACTATTTAAATGTAAAAGTGTAATGAAACCCTTTCATAAAAAGTCGGCAAGACAATTGTGCTCTCCCTGGCCATTAGGAGGCAAGTACAGAAAAAGGGCAATTGATTTTTTCTATGACTAGATAACTGCAGGATTTTTTTCAGCAAGGAGCCATTGTGGCTTTATTTCAGTTCCTTGAAGTTTACGCACCCACACTGCTGTCCACAAAACAGGTAACTTCTCTTACCGAGCACCCTGACTCTTTCAAAACCACTGTTATCTGTCATGTTGCTACCATAGGGTAGGTGTGTGCTTTTCAGCCTTCAATAACATGACCATGTTGAATATGCTTACAGAATTACATTTGGGTAAGAAAAGATGTTAAAGCCTGCTTACTTCCAACCCCCTGCCATGAGCAGGGTTGCCACCATCAGAAACCACCATGCTGCCCAAGGTGTCATCCAACCTTGCCTTGAACACCTTCGGGGATCCTGCGGGGCATCCACAGCTTCTCTGAGCTTTTTCCAGATCCACACCATCCCTCCTGTAAAGAAGGTGGATTGCAGTTTGGAGTTTACAAGGCTATGTATGAGATGAAACCTGAATTCATGCAATTTTTATTGGAAGACATTCTCAACAGCAAGGTCAGCAGGCAGAATGCCCTGCTGTGATGTACTGTGATGTACATGTACTGTACTTCATAAGCATGGTGCCACTTCTTGCAGCAGCTGCTCTCATTCTGTGGGGGAGTTTTAGGTTGCTACACACTTTACACTTGCAAGAGCTACTCTGAAAATAATGCCTCCTATATTATTATATTGGTCCACGATGTCACAGGCGGATATTGGTAATATGGCAGTAGAGGGTGAACCTTCCCACCAGTATTTTATTACATTTTCTTGCTGTGCAACAGGTGGCAGCAGAGGAGCAGTGTGACAGAATGGCATCTGGTATGGAAGTACGTATGAAGCAAAGGTGTGGAGCTGAATTCCTCCATGTGGAAAAAATGGCACCCATTGAAATTCTCTGACGCTTTTTGAGCAATTATTGAGACCAAACAAGGATGTCAGCACAGTGAGGGGGTGGGTGGTATCTCTCAGCAGCAGAAGCTGTGACACTGAGTCACCTGCACTGGAGCGGATTTTTACATGTGGCATTCAGGATCTTGCTCTGGCAAAAGTATACAGCTAATGGTGATGACTGTGTTGGAAAATAGTGTTTTGTAACTAAGAATTTGATCTATCAAGTAGTATTATTATACTCTTTGCTGAAATTTTCATGCTAAGACTCATTACTTATAACCTACATATATAGGCATGTGGCAGAGACAGTGCTTTGTTGAGCTCTTTCAGATCTCTTAGCAGTAGTTAATGGACACAAATTTTGCCAGTGTATCTTTCCTTGTTCTGCAGCAATGGATTAGGTGTAGTGAGAAGTTTATATTCCTGATGGTGTAGCTATCTGCTGTGCATTCATTTCTTCCCAGAGAATTGTTTTCCATGTTCTCAAGAGATTGGTAGCTCAGTGGTGTGTAAGCTTGAATACATTGTATTTTTTTTTTTTTTCTTCAAGGCCTGTGTCACAAAAACTGTTTTTCTCTCCTTATTGTTTTTCTTCTTCTAATCTACTTTTTCAACACTTTACTTTGCCAAGCAGATGTATATTTTCCTCACTCATTGAACAAAGTCCTTTAATTCTGACCTTTGCCACTCGGTACTGCTCTCCTACTAGACTGTATATTGTGGAGTCTAGTGCTGTTGCAATTGCTTCTTATAGGTAGGCAGGACAAAAATAAGTCACTTGTGTCTTTGAACCTCATACAGTTTTATTCCATCTGTGCAGACACTACTGAAAGGTTACTATTTCTCCTGAAAATTTTACAATCTCTTTTATTTTCTATCCTCTTATGGTGGGAATTTTTTTCAGAGAAAGTTAATCCAGTAATAGAAATGGTGGTTTACTTTTGTTTTCTCAGTTCCACAAGTATTTACTCTGTGTAAAGACATACCATGAAATACATGAGCAACTGTAATTGTGTTACATTTATTCTAAGTCACTGTGTGATGATGAAATAATCTCATGTTATCAGACACGAGGAAAAAAAAGTGGTGAAATCTGGGTATTCTGAGTGAGAACTTTGTTTATGCTGAGAAGGAAATAACTGATAAACTGCCTAAAAACTACAGGTTAAAGTGAAGGTAAAAGAAGACTTCATTAGACAAACAAAGAAAAGGAGATGTCTGAAATTCCATTCTGAAGAAAAGACTCAATTTTACTACTATCCCAGAATAAATTTGAACAAGAAACCAGCTGCTGTATTGGTGGCAAGATGTCATACTAGTGATTTGACATGGTAGCAAATGCTTTTATGTACAACTTTAAGATAGTTTGTGTCTTGGTTGGAGTGTAGCAACAAAACTTTATAGATTTTAAAAAAAGAGCAGAAGAATTGATGAGGGGATGTCTTATCAGCTTGCCCTAGATTGTAATTTGTGGGCCCTAAATGTGTGGGCCCTAAAATGAATATCCTTGTGCATAATTAATCTGTTTTGATCCCTAGAATCATGGTGGTCAGCAGAAAGGTGCACAGAGCTACAGTTACCTAATGGCAATTCACTTTGGCTGAAGCTGTGCAAAGCTAGCCATTTTTCTTTGATTTTTACATTAAAAAGTGCACCTTTCTTTTTATTCTTTGTATGTTGACTGTGAGGATTATAGCCTGCAGTAAAATGCTGCTGAGAATTGAGAAGAGGCTTTATCTCACCAGGCTGGCGACTGCTGAGGTGAATGACATAGGTTCAATGAAATGCTGAAAATTTCATCCTACCCATAGGGTTGTAATCATATCTAAGGTATAAGCATAGCTTATGCTGGCTATCATCCATTTAGGCTCTCCTTTATGGAACACTGCTATTTATAAATGAGGTACTGGTCTGCACAGTGTGCAGTGCTGTCACTGGCTGTGCACTGGCACCCTCTTTTGAGGGCTATATGACTCAACATAGTGAATAAAATATTAAAATTCCAACAGTGTTTATCCAGTGTGGCAGCACCAGGAGTGCATGAGCCAATAACAACATATGAGACACACAATGAGATAACAGCTGTTAATATAGCTTTCAGAAAAACAGCAACAAGATTAGAACAGGAATAAAACTCTAGCAAGGCCAGCCCTAGAATGTCAGTAAAGCAAATTGCTAAAATAAGATGAGATTTTGAGGCATTTCATAGAATTCCACTGAGGTAAACAAAAACTTTACATGTTTCATTGGTCAGACCATTGTCAGATAATCCTCTGATGCAACAGTAAGCCTAATAGGAGGAATGGAAAAAACTCAACTGATAGGCAATTTCCCACAGTTTGAATGAATCATAGATTTGATTGCTTTGACTTTCTCAGAAAATGATTAGACTGGTCCACGAGAAAAATAAATATACGGGAAATTTAGACCTGTCTTTCTGCTCTATCAGAAAGATGGCAGCTTACTACTCTGATGGCTGGCTGTCCTGTCATAATATGAGCCCCACTGTTAGATTTCCATACAACCTCTACTGTGTGTTTTTATTATGCCTAACACAAAAAAGAATTAGGGAGACTGACTTAATCTTATATGATTATACAGCAGACTGTCTCCTAAATGTAAAATAAAGTTACATTTGAAAAACAATAAAAAACATTTTCCTTTGAGCATCTTTTCAGAAATAATTTTCAGCCCCTGCGTATGTGAAGATCTACTTTAATCTGCTATCTTTCCTTGTGCAATTCTGTTAAAAGCAACACATTTTTTCTTTTTCTAAACTGTGATTAGAAGATAACTTACTGGAGCAGAAGAGGAAGCAAATGGAGGTATGGCTCTTTTCCCTTGAAGATTTTATTATATTTAGCTATGTAGAGGTTTTAAATTACTTAAGACCATTCTTGGGAGCAAAGATACTTTAGCATCCTTCTTGAGAGCAAGGATAACCTTAAAAAGTGTAGTGTCCTGAAGAGAACTATTTCAGAAGCAAACATTTTATTGGATACAGGATTTTTGTTTTGTTTTGTTTTGAGTAGACTGCATATTCAGATCTCTGGGGCCACTTCCATTCCATTATGGGGAAGGCAGCACTGTATCTGTGGAGGGTTCTGCTGGAAGGAGTGGGTTGAGGGGCTGGAGCCCATCACGCTGTCGGCAGAGCCCCCTGGCCAGCAGCTCAGGCTGTGTGATGAGGCTGTACTCTGCAGCACTCTGCTGCTGGTGAGTGAGATGTTTACCAGCTCTGTTTAGATTTTTTTTTTTTTTTCCCCAGCATAATGGCAAGAATTTCTATGACACCCACTTTTTATCATTTAGAAGAATTTGACCCATTTTGACTAAATGTAATGCAGATGGATTTGTGCAGTGATAGGTAATAGCAATAGTCCCTCATTAGTCAAAAATACCTCTGTGGATGTTCTAATGAGAAGCTTAAAACACTGTACAAACACAAGGTAATGAAGTTAACACCACATTTGAGAACTGAATAACACTACCCTGTTGTTACAATTACACTAAGTGAAATTTGAAGATGTGAAGGTATTTGCCAAAGGCTAAGGGAACTCAGCTGATTTTATCTAGTCTCTGTTACCAATTAATGCTGAGTGTTTGAGAAGCCTGTTCAAACTGCATATGTCTCTCACTTAAACAAGGTGGAGGAGGTCTTAGAATTTCTTCTCTTCAGTTTGTCCAATAGTGCGCACTGTTACTCTGTATTTGGAAAAATGCCCACTATAGCGCATGAAACACTAGCTAGCTATTTAGAAAGCTAACAGCATAAGAAATGCTATGAGAAGCCTACACTCCCCTGATCAATGGGGGACTGTTGACGAAGCTTTCTTGCTTCAGATGCAGGAGGCATCATGCTCACAGGCTCTTGTGAGCCTATCACAGTGCTGGTGGGGGACTTCAATCATCTGGATATCTCTTGCAAAGACCTCACAGCGAGCTGCAAGAGGTCCAGGAGGCTCCTGGAATCCACTGATGATAACTTTCAGGTTCAGGTATTGGACAGACTGACCAAGGTGAAGAGCTGCTGGACCTGCTGCTCACCAATGCGGAGGAGATCATTAAAGGTGTTAAGGTTGGAGGCAGCCTGGGCTGCAATGACCATGCCCTGGTCGAGTTCGTGATCTTGAGGAATGTGTGCCTGGCAAAGAGTGGGGTCAGAACCTCAAACTGCAGAAGAGCGAACTTTAAGCTGTTCAATGGATTCTTGGCCAAGATCCCCTGGGATGATGTCCTTAAAGACAAAGACATTGAGGTGAGCTGGCTACTCTTCAAGGACGCCTTCCTGAGAGCACAAGAGCTCTCCAACCCTCAGAGGAGGTAGGAAGCCAGCACAGCTTGGCAAGGACCTGCTGGGCAACACTGAGAGCAAAGAAAGGTGCACATAAGCTCTGGAAACAAGGGCATGTCACCTGGAAGAATACAGGGATACCATCCGGACTTGTAGACATGGGATCAGGAAAGCCAAGGCACAGGCAGAACTGAACTTGGCGAGGGATGTGAAAAACAATATGAAGACATTCTATGGGTACATTGGCCAGCAGAGACAGGCCAAAACAAGTATACCTCCTTTGGTAAATGTAAAAGGAGAACTGGCTTCAATGGACAAAGAGAAGGCTGAGGTACTGAATGAGCTCTTTGCCTCGGTCTTCACAGGCAGCCAGGATTCCAGTATTTCTCATGTCCCTGAGCCCTGCATCCCTAAACCTCTAGGTGGGGACTGGAGTAGTAAATCCCCCCCACTGTAAGGGCAGAGCAAGTCCGAGACCGCCTCATGAGACTGAATGTGTACAGGTCTATGGGGCTGGATGGTGTGCATGCCAGGGCTCTGAAGAAGCTGGGTGAGGTGGTTGCCGAGCTGCTCTCCATCATGTTTGGAAAGTCATAGCTATCAGGTGAGGTCCCGGATGACTGGAGGAAGGGTCACATCACTCTCATTTATAAGAAGGGGAGCAAGGAGGACCCAGGGAACTACAGGTGATTCTCACCTCTGTGCCTGGGAAGATCATGGAACGGATCCTCCTGGACGACATGCTTGACTGCATGAGGAATGAGCTGTGATCCGAGACAGCCAGCACGGTTTCACCAGGAGAAGCTCATGCTTAACCTATCTGGTGGCTTCTATGATGGAGTGACAGCATGGGTGGACAAGGGAAAGTGACCAATGTCATTTACCTGGACTTGAGCAAGGCCTTTGACACAGTCCCCCACCAAATCCTTATCTCCAAATTGGAGGGATGTGGATGTGATGGGTGGACAACTTGATGGATAAGAAATTGGTTGAAAGGCCACAGACAAGGCTGGTGATTAATGGTTCTGTGTCAGGTGGAGGCTGGTAATGAGCAGCGTCCCCCAGGGGTCTGTCTTGGGACCGGTGCTCTTTAGCAACTTAATCAGTGACATTAGTGGTAGAATTGCTTGCACCCTCAGCAAGTTTGCTGATAACATCAAGCTGAGTGGTGTGGTCGACACAGTTGAATGAAGGGATGCCATTCAGAGGGGCCACAGCAGACTAGAAAAGTTGGTCTGGAAGAATCTAATGAGGTTCAGCACAGCAAAGTGTGAGGTTTTGCACTTGGGCTGGAGGAATCCCATACAGACTAGGAGGAGCGGCCCTTGAGAGCAACACTGCAGAGAAAGATCTGGGGGTCCTGATGGATGAAAAACTTATCATGAGCCAGCAGTGTGCTCTTGCAGCTCAGAAGATAAATGGTATCCTGAGCTCCATCAGCGGAGGGGTGGCAGCAGGGATAGGGAGGTGATTGTCCCCCTCTACTCTGCTCTTGGGAGGCCCTATTTTGAGTACTGTGTCCAGGACTGGAGCCCCCAGTACAAGAAAGACAGAGAGCTGTTGGAGAGGGTCCAGAGGAGAGCCACAAAGATGATCAGGGGGCTGCAGCACCTCCCCTACCAAGACAAGCTGAGGGAGCTGGGCTTGTTCAGCCTGGAGAAAAGAAGGCTGCAGGGTGACTTCATTGCAGTGCCTAAAGGGAGCCTACATACTGGAGGGATTCAACTCTTGGAGATGGTAGATAAAAATAGGACAAGGGGAAATGGTTTTAAGTTGTGGGAGGGAAGATTTAGGTTGGATGTCAGGGAGAGTTTCTTTACACAGAGAGTGGTGAGGTGCTGGAACAGCTGCCCAGAGAGGCTGTGGATGTCCCATCCATAGAGATGTTCAAGGCCAGACTGAATGGGGCCCTGGGCAAGCTGGTCTAGTATAAAAGGTGGAGTTTGGTGGCTCTGCATGTGGCAGGGGGGTTGGAGGTTCATGATCCTTGAGGTCCCTTCCAACCCGGGCCATTCTTGATACTGTGACTGTGAAGCATATCCTATTCTTAAAAGTATGGTTTATGTTTTCTATTATATACAAGCATTTTAAATTGTGATTGTAACTTTACACTTGTAAGCTTCCTTCAGCAGATTGTTTTCTGATTTCAGAAAAGCACCAGAACTGTTCTTCACTTAATATTGTCCTAGTTTCAGCTGGTACAGAGTTGTTTTTGTTCATAGTGTACAGTATGATGCTATGTCTCAGCTTTACGAAAAAAAAAAACAAAACAACAACACAGTGCTGATGAAATACCTATGTTTTAGTTGTTGCTGAACAGTGCTGTACAGAGCCAAGGACATTTCAGTTTTCTCAGCTTCCCGTTCTGTCCTGCCAGAGATAGACCTGGGGTACACAAGGAGCTGGGAGGAGGCAGACCCAGGTGACCTGAACTGGCCAAAGGGATGTTTCATAATATATTATACCACGTCACATAAAAACTATTAAACTATGGGGAGTTGGCTGGGTTGGAGACAGTTGCTGCTTGGGGACTGGCTGGTTGGCTGGTGGTGAAAAGCTGCTCTGTGCATTACTTATTTAGTAAATACATATATATTATTATCATTACTGTTATTTCTGTTTTCTGACTCAGTAAATAGTTACCTAAGCCTACAGATTCTGCTTTTATTTTTCTGATTCTCTCCCCCATCCCACCAGCCTAGAGGGGAGGGACCCTCTAACTTTGTGGTGCTTAGCTGCTTAGGATTTATCTTTGTTTCTGAGCTTAATGTTAGAAACATATAAGTCTAATGGGGCCCAATGGGATTCATTCTAGGGCACTTGAGGAGCTGGCTGATATCATCACAGGACCTCTCTATGGTTTTCAACAATCTTGGGAATCTGGAGAGGTCCCAGTTGACTGGCAGCTGTTTAACTAATTTAATCTCCTTTTATGACAGGGTTATCCATCCAGTTAGTAAGAGCCAGTTGATGCATTCCTCTTGGATTTTGAAAAACTTTCAATACTGTTTCTGACAGTATCCTTCTGGACAAAATGTCCAGCCTACAGCTAAACAAAAACACGAAGTAATGGGTGAACAGTTAGCTAATTGTTCAGACTGAAAGGGTTATATCAGACAACAAGCCTGATATTATGGAATTCTGCAAGGCTCCATTCTATGGACAGTTCTCTATAATGCTTTCAACAATGACTTTGACACTAGACTTGAAGGTTTACTGAATAACTTCATAGGCATCATGAAGTTAAGCTGGTCAGAGAGGCCTTGCAGAGA